TCCATAGTAAATATACTTTGATTTACTATAGTGAAAAACTTTGATACTGTAGTAAACTATAGTTAACTATAGTAAACTATAGTTAACTACAGTTAACTATAGTTAATTATAGTACTTTTTTGTTAGGGTGAATCCGACCTAGATTTTTCATAATTTTTTTTGGAGTTGCTATACAATATTATGGCCTGTTATGATTAAACTTGCATAGATTATGCATCTAAGGATGAAAACTTCCAGCCTTGCTTTGGATGTTGGAACTAACCAAAATTTTCTTGATTAGTAAACAGGTTAAAAGCTTTTTGAGCAGGTCTATTTCGAAGTAACAATAAGTCCTACTTAAACCAAACTCGCAGCAATGTTAAGGTTTCCCGAAGCTTTAAATTGCGCTCGAAACATAATAATTCATTGCGAGGTCGGTTTTGGTTTTAATTTATAAGTATTGTACTTTTAATTAGTACTTCCAATTTATATAGAGGGTTCCCTCGGCTATATATTACATGTACCATATTTGTTATGATATCAATGACTTTTTTGATCACGTGACGGTCTTTTATAACTTTTTGAAGTGTTTCACATAAATCATCGTATCCTTGTGTTCCCGAAATTTGCTTGGGAAAAGTCATAGTATTACTTGGGTACATAATATTTCGTGAGAAATTCAACTTGCCTACAAATTTGAGGGTATTTTCCACACAATATCGTAATCTGTAAAAAACAAAAAACAAAGCCATTACACATTTTCCAAAGCAAGATTCAGTTAGAGAACAACCTCTTCTTACAGATTTCCACAAAAAATCTCAGATTATTCCAAACATTCAACATGTTTTTGCTTATAAAATGTGAGGAAGGCTTCGGCATTCAAGACACCATAACACGAACAGGGGGTCAAAAGATGAAAGTATGCGTTTTATTTTAACGTCACAAACGTTGAACGCCGTGGAAGTGCAACGAAAATCAAAATTCACGCTCACATTGAGTAGAAGTTGTTGCAACTGCTCTTCCATTAAGTGTAACCTACCAAAGGATAATACAGGAATTTTGAAATATAAATCACATTTGCAGTCAAGGCAAGGAGTTAAAAAATGTAAACATAAGCCTTGAATCATTATTTTTTGAAAGATAAAGTCTCATAACTGCAACGGTGTGTGCAAACAAATTTTCATAACCAATTATTAATCAATTGTTTGCACACACCGCTGCAGTTATGAGACTTTATCTTTCAAAAAATAATGGCTAAATGCTTAATAATCACCTGCGCCAGACTCTTATACACACAAAATAAATTCTACCTCCAACCACGGGTATAACACAATTTTCGTACGTATTTTGAACATGCTAAATTTTAATCAAGGGTAAGTAAGTGATGTATTTTAAAAATATTCGGAAATATAAGTCTAAAAAAAACTTTAACGACCCGTGAATTGTGCAAAAGCTATCTAGTGTGTTACATGCAGTTTCAAATAAAGTGTAAAGTCTTGAATGGATATTGATTTTGGGATGTACACTAACTAGAAAAAAATATGTGAAGGCCTTATAGATATCGAGGTGAGCTTCGTAATCTTTGATTACCTATGTTTTAGAAAAAAAAATCGCTTAATTTGTCGCTCGCTAAAATTTCCACTTATACGGTATTGGATTGTTTCAGATTTGAAGCTGCTCAGCTTTCATTGGTAAACTATAGTTAACAATAGTAAACTATAGTTAACTATAGGGTCTACATTATTTTAAACGTCAAGCAAAAGATTAAATTTAATATAGTTATGTAAAATTAGGAAAGTCAAAAGATTAAAAAATAAAATATAACACAAAGTACAGGCTTTAACGAAGCTTACATGTTTATGATGTTACAGGAGGCCTTTTTGTTCAGTAAATATTTATTTTTTATGTTCTAAAAGTAACAAGGAATTGTTTTGCAATTGTCATTTTATCATAATCTTAATATAGGGGGGTTCAGTGTGTCTGTTAAGGATAAGGGCGTCTTCTCCTTTGGTTGGATGTAGTTGAACGAGACAATCTTTACCAGAGGCACTCCACAAGTTTCACTAACACCCGTAAAGTGAAGTTTGCAAAGATCCTTCTGGAAGAAAATGCCGACGTGAAAACTTCAACGCTCTCTGTGTTTACTTTTTCCCTAAAAAATAATTTAAAGTTTGAGTAAACGTCTTTGACAAGATTATAGGGCGAATACAGAGGGGTGGGATTCGCGCTATTGAAAGTCTTAAAATCAACGAAAGTTGTCGAAAAAATAAATCTGATTAGAAAATTGTAAAACTGGCAATAGAATATTAAAGCAAAAGCAGTATAAATGGAATCCGAGTTTAGTGAAAGGGGGGGGGGGGGAGGGTGAAAACTCCCTAAACGTCTTTTTTGGCGAACACCTCCCCCCTTAATAAATTCCTAGATCAGCCTGATATGATCGGCTACTGACTTTTAAAAAAAAACTATGCTCCGTGAATTGGAACTTAAATAAACTTTTCTTTTTTGTTTTAAATTCACAGAATAATTTCAAGAACCTGCATGCATGGGATCGTTTAACCCCAAACTCTCTGCTCCCATGCTTAAAAACTATCTAGACATAAGGGGCAAGCGGCCAAATCGGCTAAAGATAATGCTGAAATAATTTTTCCTTCTACAAAATTTAATTTTCCTAACGCTTTTAAACATTGTCACGAAAAAAGAAAATCCACTGGCTGACTCGCTAAGCTTATTTTAAAAGCTAAACTTGTAAAATCACTTTCGAAGCAATTAAGCAATTTAGTTCATTATTTCGGATATGTAGAGGCTTAGGATCATCAAATCTTGTATTTTGATGCATCTTGTGGCATTGGAACATATTAAAGAAAAAATTATCTACATGTACTGTATGATCTACAGTGATTAACTTTATAACTTTTACAGATATTAAATTTAGTATTCTTTAAGATGAATATTTTAGATACTGTTAAACCTCGAGTTATCTTTTTTTTTTTTCGGTTGATGCATCTAAAGGCCTTTGAGTATATCAACTTAAAGCTAGTTTACCGTGATCTCCGTTTGGAATTTCTTGGTCACATCTAAAAATTTCAGATACTAAAGGGCTTAGAATGATCATTCTTTGTCAGTTTATGCATCTTGGGTCTTTTGAGTGTGTCGACCAAAAAGTAGGTCACTATGACTTATTTTGGGATTTTTAAGGCTATATCTAACCATTGGAATAAGAAGGTGCTTCAAAGTAATCAAGCTTTGTCAGCTCATGCATCTTGGCTCTTCAGAGTGGTTCAACCAAAATGTAGGTATATGACAGTACATATTGTCTTTTTGTACGTATTGTCGTCATCACAAGGTATCCGACACCTATGAATAAAAGTTCATACTTTTATCTCAGTATTTAGAAGAATAAAAGGCTTTCAATAATCAAGTCCTTTCAGTAAATAAATATTTGGTCTTCGGGCAGTGTCGAGTAAAAATTACATCAAAGTCATCTACTTTCAAGAGTACATAGTTGCATGTTACTACTATAAATCAATTTTTATTCGCTCGCGAGAAATATCTGTTAGCAGATCAAATTCGCGGTTTTTTATCGACGCGAACCAGTCATTGGCTTTGCCATTTTTAATTCATATAAATACAAGTATAGCTTTTTCAAAAAGCTTTGTCGTCTTTAGCAACAACTTTAAACTATAGACTTTTTTCTTAGCTTTGAACTTCTTCCACATCTTTTTATAATTTGTAGATAATGAAATATTGAAAAACTTCAAAATAGTTACTTTAAATAAGTGTCTGTTTCTTAACTACAATTATCTTTGTTTGCTTTGTCGATTTTTTTAGGTATTTTAAAAAAAATCTTAAAAATTGTGTATTCATACGAAAATTAGATAATCAGAAATCTTTTTGGAATGATAATTAATATAAACTCGAAACTTTTGGGAATTATTTCTACACCATCGGAGTTTGAAGCTGTTATGAGCACTTAATTCCGGTCATACAATAAAAGAAAAGCTGGAAGTTGTTTGTAATTGATGTTTAATTTTTGTGTGTGTGTGTTTCTAAATATACTCTGAAGAATTCAAGTGCCTGTTTATTCCATCAATGGTTGTTTTCCATGCTTTTATAAATCAGGCTTTCCCTGTCAAGATCATCAATATGTTATCTCATCGAAAATTGAAAGGAAGTCCTCCTCGTTGCTAGCAATGAAATCTCATCCGTCTTCACAGAAGACCTTTTAGTGATTCTACTGTTTCTTCTTATTATTAATATGATTTTTTTCTTCAAATTTTTGGGCACGCACATACTAAATATGTCATATACAATTAAGATAGCATTATCATTCGCATGGTCATTATTGATACATGTAAGTTTTTGATGATCATGGATTTGCAGCATAATGAATAATTAAAAACATGCATCAAATATTTCATTTCTTATTTTTCAATTTAATTTTTTGTACTTTAAAACATTTAACGCAAGATTTTTAATTCAAGATAAATTAAATTTAATTCCTATTTTTTTGTATGGTATTCACAGTGATATTACAAGTCAACTAACGTACCCGGTAATTTGAATCTTTGTTTAACAAGAAATCATAATAATATTATTCACAAAATAAACGTGAGAACGGTATCATTTGTTATGATCATAATATGATGTTCACTTTAGTCCTTTGTACTCCGCTATAACCGAGTTTTGCTGTACTTTAACATTGATACAAATGTTGAGTTGTGTTTACTAATTTTTATCTTATATATGCATGAAACTTTCAATTCATCCTTTTATTACTACTGATAATGTCAAAATGTATTAGATAAAATTGACTAACAGGGAACATATATTTTTAGATCACAGGAAAAAAAAAATGCAACAAGTTTTTAGGCTCTTCAGTATATATTCACTTTATTGAAAGGTCCTTTATAGTCAGTTTAAATGTTGAATAATACATAAAAATATAATCAGTGTACTTGTTTGCGTATCTGCTAATTTCATCATTAGTTTGTTTGTTTTTTTTACATTTACTCTTCTTTCAGAAAATATGGACGAGTTCTGTAAGTCAAGGCCAGACTCCATAAGAGCGCACCCTACAAACTGTGCTCAGTATTACAACTGTTCTCAAAAGTCTACAAGGAATGATCACCTTTTTGAATGCCTATACCCTCAGTTATTTGATGTGATAACCAGATCCTGCCAGAATTTTACTTCAGTGTCCTGTGACCATCGTCAGGAACCAATGGCCCCATGTAAGAAAAGAAGTGTTTTAATTTCTTCAAGCTACTGAATTTATGAACAATTACTAAGTAAAATTTGGTGGTTATCATATAAAAGAATTGCAGAAACTCCTGAAACAAAGTTACCGAAAGAAAGAAACTAAAAAGACTCCGAGATCTTAATAAACATCCACCCACCCATCCACACACACCTTAACCCTCTCTCACACACACACACACACACATAAATGTCGATTTTACAATGCTCAAAGTATTATTTTAGCTCTACTAGTCAAAGACCAAAAGAGTTTTTGGATAGAAAGTTGTTCGTCATCATTCATTCGTCTGTTTGTATACAGTAAAACAGGCTTATAGCGAAGTGCCAGGGACCAAAAATGTAATTCGTTGTATCCGTTCAGTTCACATGTTTTAAAACTACGGGGAATGAAAACCCCGTCGCTGTAAGCGTGAATTCATTCTAAACGTGTTCGCTATAATCGTGTTTTACTGTATCTGTAAACATTTTACTCCTACACTTTATGTCTGATTAGTGTTGTAATTGTTACTAAAACTAGAAAAAAAATTAAAAATTCTTGAAAACGCTACTTTCCTACAGTTTGAACAATTTTCTCAAAATTTATTACACATATTACACTATGAAGCATACTCTATATATCGGTTTTACTGTACCTTATGTATATTTATGTACAGATGATATCAAAACACAAAACTGTCCTTGAGAAATCTGTAGTAAACAGTAATTTGAGTTTTGTAGTAAACAGTTATTTCAGTTTTGAGGAAGAAAAATAAGAGATAGGAAGAATCAATGACCGCCTAGTTTAAAATATGCCAGTGAGGTACTATTATATAGCAATCGCATTTTTTCGGGCCTTTCTAGCAAACTCGGGAAAAATACCCGATGTTGTTCTTTCGAGGTTGCCGGAACGATTCAGGAAGTAGTTAAAAAAAAATAGGTATTGTTATAATTTTGATCTCTACAGTCTTGGCTTTATGAGACCTAAGTTATTGTTACTTTTGTACATTTTTGTACAGATAAAACACCAAAACACGAAACTTGAAGATCATATGTATTTTCAGATAATAAAACGAAATTGACATGGTTTATCTACAGTAATATTCCCAGAATGCTTTACCATTAAATCGAGCATGCGCCTTCCAGTAAACAAGACTAGCGTAGTTGCTAGCGCTCAAGAGCACTAGTAACTAAAGAATCACTATCACGTTACGAACTCTCCGACATCGAGTATCATGCACTCGGGGTATATATTTTCCAAAGAGGGTTTGTTTAACATGGATTGTCAAGAAGCTATATATTATAAACGACCTTTTTCAAAATAAATTATACTATAATATGCTTTGAAATTCTAATCTAAGGAAGGTCAATATCAGGAAACAGTCAATAAATCTTTACAGTTTTAGAAACAAGGACTGCAAAAGAATATTTCAGTGATATAATAAAACAATTAATTATTCCTTCTGACTTCAGCATGGCAAAATAAGGAACTTCGTGGCCTTGTTCAGGTCCGGTCACCTCGTGGGTCTGGTCTCGGGTCTTTACTTCATAATATTGATTTCATGAGGGGTAATTAATTGCATATAATATACTGTTACATCACACATTTTCGTGGGTACATATTTTCGTGGTTTGGGGGGGGGGGGGGTTCCGGTCACCTCGTGGGTCTGGTTTCGGGTCCTTATTTCACTATGTTGACCTCATGAGGGGTAATTAATTGCATATAATTTAGTGTAAAATCACACATTTTTGGGGTACAAATTTTCGTGGTTTGAGGAAAATTTGTTGGTTCAAGGGTATTTGATTTTGCGGTTGAAGAAATGTAGTGTTATGCATTTCAAATTTTACATTTCGTGGAGGACATGATTTTATGGGGTTTTTTAATACTACGAACACAACAAAAAAAATAAAACCCCATGAAAATAAGTGATTTCACAGTCTAATAAGCAGTGGATAGACAAAACAACTTCTTTTTGTTTAACCTTCGCAAAGAGAGATTCTAGTCAAGGTATACGATCATGCTTTCTATATTTTAAAAATTTGGTTATAATTGTAATCATAAGGAACGCCTCAGCCGCCGTATGTGAATGTTTTGATGATTTTTTTTTAAATTAAATGATGATTTTTCGAAATTATATGTTTATACTTTAACATTACGTGCGAGATGATTCTTTGATAATATACGATGATATTTTGACACTATATGCTGATACGTTGACATTATATGATGATCCTTTAATATTACATGCTGATACTTCAGCATATAGTGTTTAAAAAATAGGTAAAATATCGGGATCTGATAAGTTTAAAAAGAATGATAATCGCATGAAACATACAGTCATGTATATATGTACATAAATGACTAAGAATACGCCTTAAGTAACCATGGCAACATCATTCAACGAAAACCGATAAAGACAATTATGTATCAAGTGATATTGAAATCAAACTAAGACATTGAAAAGTTTCAATGTGGGGGTCAATGATGTAGATTTTTAGATATTGCTAAAAAAGTGTTAATTTTATGTTAAAATTGGCTCATTTTTTCGTGGACTTTCAGAATATATTTATTATATTTGTCACATTATGATGATAGAATTCATAAAAATTAATTTAATAGATATTTCAGAACCAGGATAAAACATTTCACTGTAAAAAAAAAAAACAGATCTGTGTGCATTCAGCATAGAAAAATAGAGAAACTTAACAGTACTGTAAATACTTTAAAAGGGAAAAATTGATCATTTTCTTCCAAAAAATACTTCAACCGTCACGGTAGCTCAGTCGGTAGAGCGCTCGCTCCGTGATGGGAAGGTCGTGTGTTCGAATCACGGCTGCGACTCAGCGATAGGTAGCAACTGTTCCTTCGACAAGCTCGGCACTTTGAAGTGAACGATGCGGGTATTTCGGATGAGACCTTAAAAATCAAGGCCCTGTATCACGGTAGGCGTTGGCACGGTAAAGAAACTCTCACTGCTCACTGTTCATGAGTGCCGAGCAATTGCTCAGCAACAGCACATATCTGAAGTCTAAAACTTTCAAGAATGATAGCCAGGTACCAGTTTATCTGCACATATAAAAATCGTACGTTGCCGATACTTCCGGGCGTGAAAGGAAACGATGCAAAAGAGTAATTTTTTCAAGTTTCTTTTGTATTTACAGATATTTCAGGCTAATGCAATGTAAGATAGGTCCATGCAAATTATTTCCGCCCGAAAGTGCCAGCCGAAAAACCGGAAGTTGTCTCAAACATGATTTTTTTTTCCATTGAAACTGTTAGGTATGATTATTTTTGAATCGCAAAAGTGTAAAATGAACTTTTTATTCGTTTAGAGCACTTCCGGTCATGACTGGAAATATATAAAGAAAGCAGAAAATTTGGATTTTTTAAACCTGTATTTATATATCTTTGGAAGCTTTGAGATGACTTTTATTAATCATTTAGACTCACTTCCGGTCTAACCGGAAGTAGTTACCAGTGGCTTCGAAAAGTTTTTAATATTTACCGGAAATTGTGCACGTCGGCGCTCCCTATAGTCCGAAATAAGGCACATCAAGAATTTTAAAACTTTCCGCTTTTTTTTTTACTTGTAAATAATTTAATAAAACATATAGAACAAAATATGTGCAAAAAATAAAAGATCTCTTATGTGATACCAAAAAAGGGCTGGATCTTTAAGTGAGGGATCTAGAGGAGCCGAAAGTTTTTTCTCAATATTTCAAAAGTATTGAGAATTTGTAATACATTATTGAAGTAAAGTTGTTCAGAATAACAAGTGGCAGCAAGTGGGATCATCAAAAGTCAGAAAATGCATATTTTTGCCGTTATCGACACGTTATTGGGTGATTTATGTCACGGGAAGCGTCCAACAAAATTTTTCGTCCAGAGCCAGATATGGCTTACTTTTGCAGGAATCTACACAGAATTGAAGGATTTAAGTCATTAGAGACGTCTGACCTTATTTATTATCGATGATGTCAATCGAAGTCACTTTCGGTCAAACCGGAAAGAGCCAAAATAGCTTATTTTGCAGGTTTCGACACAAAATTGAAGGATTAAAGTCACTGGAGACGTCTTTTTTCAATTTGGAAGGAATACCTACTTGTTGCTTTTCAACGAGCTTTGCTCTAGTTATTTTTTTCTTACCGATTTTGTGCATGCGAGTTCTCGGAAACGGCTCGCTAAATCTGCATGAAACTTTCAGGTCTGATAGAACATCAAAAAATCTAAAACTGTTTTTTTTTTCATTTTGATGACGTCACTTCTTGTCCGGAGATTTCGGTGAATTAGTGATTTTTCTGCAAGTTTTCCAATAAACCACTAATCACAGAGACCTGAAACTTTCAGCGAAGATAGAGCAACATATGTAGATCTGTAGTACTTATTTACTTGCAATGGAAGTACGAATCGTCGACGCTCGCTATGGCCCGAAAAAAGTCGTATCGATAATTACTAAATTTCTAACGCAATTTCTTAGATTTCGCTTTACCTGTAAAATATTTTGTTAAAATATATATAACAAAAGTAATGCAGAACTAGAAAGTCTGCTATTGCAAGCAATATCGAGTGTCGGCCCCGAACTGGCTTTATTAGAAATGGTCTAAAAATGTATTGTTCTGGATTTCTTTCTTTCTTTCTATCTCTGAGAACATATGTTACATGTAGCATAAAACCCTTTTCTTTGTTTTGTTTCTATGGTACATGTCACTGTGTGCGGCCAATTCCACGTTTTTTTTTAAATAGAAATCACTTTGACATAATGCAAGGAATCATCCATTAAAGTTTTAAAATAATTACTTGAGCAGTTACTGAGACAATCGAAGTAAAAGAATTTTCTCTTTTCCTCTGTTTCCATGACAACAATTGATAATTTGAAAATTTTAAATGCGAATCGCACAACTACAATTACTGATCATCATTTCTGTAAAGTTTAACGATGAATATTCAAGGGACCAGAGAGAAATTTCTCATTTTTCGCACGTTTCCATGGCAACGGTG